GTTCAAACTTATTGAAGAAGGTGTGATTGCAACACAATGAATAGCAGAGAAGTTTGAGTCCTGTATGTCTGATTTCCTCTGTGCATCCAATTACTAACTTCAACACATCTGTGTCCCAGTGGGTTGTTCCTGTTTACCTGGAGACTGAGAAGTGGAGTTAGCCTATGTTCTGGTGTGCTGTGTTTTACTTCTTGCTGTCCCTCGGCACCAACATCAGAAATACTCTGCCCTTGCTCTGCACTCCCAGAGCATACAGTCCTGACCAACCAGTGACCCTTCTAACCTGGATACCATGCCCCTGGGAAAATGCTCTTGACACCCTACTCTCTTTGTGCACCCAGTCTTCAGCCTTAACTCTGCTATATCCCTGAGGTGTTTGCTGCACCCTTCTGGACATGGATAAGATATACTGGAAGCTCTGCACTGCTCTGCTGGTAGGTGGGCTCCTTGTGCCCTGACCTGTCTATTCTGACATTCAGAATGTCAGAACCTGACATTCATCTGTCACATGGGGCTCCCTGCACTCCTGAAGAACATTTCTTGCTTGCATGATGACTAGCATGGACCAGCTTTGGCCTAGGCAACTCAGTGAACTGCATCCACACCATCATCAATGAGGTCTGAATCTCAGCCTTGGGATATGGGCCACCTATTGGGTCATCTTTCTTGGGTCATTTTGCACCCGAGAGTATTTAGATAGCTTTCACGTTTATAGTTGACCTACTGTTAGAGTTAATATTTTTTTATATTAAACTTTGCCTGTTCAAATTACCAATAAGTTGTTTCTTTCCTGATTGGACTCTCACTGATACATTATCCCTTCCTTCTGGAATGTGCTCTACTGGCTAACCCTTATTCATTCTTTAAGTTTTAGCTTTTTTTTTTTTTTAACTTTATTTTGAAAGAGAGAACAAGGTGGGGAGGAGCAGAGAGAGAGGGACAGAGGATCCAAAGCGGGCTCTGTGCTGACAGCAGAGAGCCTGATATCGGGCTAGAACTCAAGAACCATTAGTTCATGACCTGAGTCAAAGTTGGACGCTTAACCAACTCATGGCTCACCACCCATATGTCCTGAAGTTTTAGCTATGATATTACTTCTTCCTGTGCATCATTCCCTGAATCACCACCTTCATCTTTACATGACTCTGTAGATCCTTTGCACTCACCCTAAATGTGGCACTAAATATAAAACTCTACCTTCCTGAACATAAGAATGCCATGTTTGTTATTTCTTCACTGAATGTATCACAATGCTAGAATAAATAAGGTTCGCAGTACATGTTTCTGTTTTACCTTTATGGTCCCCTGATGTAGTTCTCCCTGGTCAGGAATCTGCAGTGACAATGGAAAATCAGCCTCAATACACTTAAGCCCTCATATTGTAATCATGGTTTAATTACAATATACTTTGTTTTCCTCCACAGATACAGTGGAATGCAAGGGAAGACATATCCAAAAGAATGAGTGAAGTAGCTGTGGAAAAGCATTTTTTAAAAAATATTTTTATTTCTAGGAGGGAGAGAGAGACAGCGTGAACAGGGGGTGGTCAGAGAGAGAGGGAGACACAGACCCTGAAATAGGCTCCAGGCTCTGAGCTGGCTGTCAGCACAGAGCCCGATGCAGGGCTCGAACCCACGAACCACGAGATCATGACCTAAGTGAAAGTCGGACGCTTAACCGACTAAGCCACCCAGGCGCCCCTGTGGAAAAGCATTTGATCAACTTCTTGGTAACTTTTTTTTCTTTCTTTTTTCATTCTATCTCTTTTTCTTTTGTTTAAAGTTTATTTATTTTGAGAGAGACAGAGAAAGTGCATGGGGGTAGGGGGGGGGAGAGAGAGAGAGAGAGAGAGAGAGAGAGAATCCCAAGCAGACTCTGCCCTGACACCACAGAGCCAGATGCAGGGCTAAATCTCATGAACCATGCGTTCATGACCAGAACCAAAATCAAGGGTTGGGTGCTCACCCAGCTGAGCCAACCAGGTGCCCCTCATAGTGCATGTTAAAGATTGACAAGAGTGGGACATAGCAATGTGGAAACTTAAATGTGAGATAGGAAATAATCAAAACCCTGGAGGAGAAAACAGGCAACAACATCTTTGACTTCCGCTGCAGCAATTTCTTGCTCAACACATCTCCGAAGACAAGGGAAATAATAAAGCAAAAATGAACTATAGGGATCTTATCAAGATAAAAAGCTTCTGCACGGCAAAGGAAACAATCAACAGAACTAAAAGGGAACTGACAGAATGGGAGAAGGTATTTCCTTTTTTTTTTTTTTTTTAAATATTTTTTTTTATTTATTTCTAGGAGAGAGAGAGCGTGAGCAGGGGAGGGTCAGAGAGAGAGGGAGACACAGACTCTGAAACAGGCTCCAGGCTCTGAGCTGGCAGTCAGCACAGAGCCCGACGCGGGGCTCGAACCCACGAACCGCGAGATCATGACCTAAGCGAAAGTCGGACGCTTAACCGACTAAGCCACCCAGGCGCCCCGGGAGAAGGTATTTCCAAACGACATATCAGATAAAGGGTTAGTATCCAAAATCTATAAAGAACTTACCGAACTCAATACATGAAAAACAAATAATCCAGTGAAGAAATGAGCAGAAGACATGAATAGACACTTTTCCAGAGGAGACATCCATATGGCCAACAGATGCATGAAAAGATGCTGTTGGTTAACTCTTAAAAAGAAGATAATGGGTGCCTGGGTGGTTCAGTTAGTTGAACGTCTGACTCTTGATTTCACCTGATCAAGATCTCACAGTTTATGAGTTGGACCCCTACATTAGGTTCTGCACTGACGGCCTAGAGCCTGCTTGAGATTCTCTCTCTCTCTCTGCAACTCTCCCACTCATACACACATGTGCACACACACACATTCTCTCTCTTTCTCTCTTTCTCATTCTCAAAAATAATCTAAAAAAAAAAAAAAACAGAAAAAAGAGAAGACACTCATGACAGCCTTGAACTGTAATGAGAAAACCATAGGTAAGGGATTTGTTAGAGCATTCATATCTCATTTGTTTTTTATCATAAAAGAAATATTACACAAACCCATCAATTACATTAGTATAACTATTAAATGAGTATGTAGCAAATATGAACCAGGATATATTTGAATCTTAGATAGTAATAGGAGTTCTAATCAAGAGCTTTCTAGAGGACATCTGTTCTAGATATGAAAATAATTTCCACAGAAGTCTGGGAATGGGAAATCCTAGGTTTCAATTGATTGGGAGAAACTCTTTGGGGATCCACATAGCATTTGACTGAGGAACACAGAAGCTCAGAGTTGGCCTCCGATAGACACTTTGAGTATCTCTTATCAAAGGAAAAACAGTAGAGTCAACCAAATTCTACAACTTAGCTGGAGTCCTGGTGTGGAGTCCCGGACTCACCTGCTAACGTCTTTGGCCCGCATTCCAGGCTGCATTAGGACCTGTCAGAGTCTTCTCATCAGATGTCTTTACAGAGAGCCTTTACTGGTCTCCTAAGTCACCCTGGAGAATTGTGAGGAGACAACTAAGAGACAAGAGATGCTTTTCTAGTTGGGCACCTGGAGGAGGGAAATGCTTGGTGGTCGTAGTTGAAACCATTCACACACACCAAAACCATTTGGTCTGGCTAAGAGGCATAGGCCTGAGAAATGGTTTGTTTTTGTTTCTTTGTTTTTGTTTTCTGCTCTTTGACCAGTGAAGATTCCTGTCTTGTTACACACCTCCCCAGCAGGGACTCTAGGGCTCTCCAGATCTCAGGAAATTCTGCTGAAGATGAGACACTTGGTTTCTGAGTTGCTAATTCCAAACAACTTTCTGTCAAATCATTTTACCTGCAAACACACAATGACATTAAATGGACTCTGGAGAATAAGTACCTAAATTAATATCTGTGCATTTGCCTTGCTCTAAAATATGGACACCCAATTTTCTAATTTTGCTGGTGCATCTTGTGCAACAGTGGTTTCTGTTCATTTTTATTTTGGTCAATTCTTTTTTTTTTTTTTTAAAGTAAGGTCTATGTCCAATATGGGGCTTGGGCTCACAAGTGCAAGATAAATGAGTTGCATGCTCTAGTAAATGGAGCCAGCCAGAGGCTCCTACTTTGGTTAATTCTTCAAATCATTAACAAATGTAATAGGAATCTGGTGAGTTTTGGGTGACTGGTTTCGTATTAGCCGTTGTCAGAAGTTAAAATAGTAGTGTAGTGATGCAAGAAGCAGACTAGTCAATGGAACAGAAGGTAAAACCCGGAAACAAAAAACATATCTGAGAATATAATTTACGACCAAGTGGCACTTCAAACTACGTGAGAAAGATGGCTTATTTCAGACAGGCAAATAAACAGTTTTTTAAAAATTTCTAAACTGTTACAACGTGCTCCAAAATAAATCTTGCATTAATTAAAGATTTAAGTGGGAAATAACAGCAACAAAGAAAAGTAAAGAAAACGTAAACGGAAGGCTGGGCCAACGGGGAGGATAAGAGGTGTGCAGAAATGTGTCTTCATTTCATCTGGAGAATGCACTGTTTTCCCTCCTCATGAGTTTGCACTTGATGACACACGCTGCCAAAGTGTCTGACCAAGAAAATGCCTTCAGTTCCTGCAGCTGCTAAATTCTCTGGAGACCGGCTAGGGCCCAAAGGGATATGGAAGAGGAATAAACTGAGGGATAAGCAGATGTAGAGAGCTTTTTGCAGGGAAGTGTTCTGGGGGACGCCGTCTTCAGCATCCCCAAGTTTCGCGCCCCTCTAGCCCCAGTGGTCTACAGGGACTGCCTTTCCACACCCGCGATTCTAACTTTGCAAACGCCCGGAAACGCCCAGCTAACTCCAACCTAAAGCGGCCCAGCCCTCTCCCAACCAATCGCTGAGATTTGAGAGGTTTGGGCCTCGCACATGCGCTTTGGGCCCCCTTGACCGCTAGGCCTCTGTGCGCACGCGCCGTCTTCTGTCCTCTAAAGCGAGCAAGCGCACTTGTGTTTGGCGCTGTTGCTTGGTTACATTTATTGCGGGCTGAAAAACTGTTGGGATATTGTGGCGACGCAGGTTTGGCTTAAGTGAAAACCCGAGGGAGAGGTGAAGTCTCTGTGAACCCCAAAGTGTGCGTAATGAAGAAGATTTTTGGCTTAGGGGCTAAGAAGGGTGAGTCGCCCTTGGGCTCCACTTGTAGCTCCCGGCGGAACGGAAAGGATGTTGCGAGAGAGAGTAACACACTCGGCAGCTCCCAGAGCGGCTACCACATCCGGGAGAGAGATCTTGGGAAGCTTCATCGGGCCGCCAACGTGGGCAACGTTGCCAAAGTACAACATATTCTCTGGTTTGGGAGCAAAGGCCTGGACGAGCGAGATAGAAAGCGCAGGTGATAGGGACTTGGAGGCTGGCGGGGAGGAGGCGGGAGGGACCTGGGAGAAACGCGCACCTGGTCTGGCTCTGCCTGTGGAGCTGAGCCCTCCCGGCAGCGAGGGCGCTGGGTCCCCTTCCCCCCTGAGGCCCCGCAGCACCTGGGTCGTGGGCGCATTATCTGGTGTGGCGCCCACGCCCACAGGTTGAGCGGCAGAAACAAAAGCTTCAGCTGCCTTCTTGGCACTTAGTCCTCATTCCCCAAAAGACCACGTTCCGTCCCGTCAAGGTGGACGGGATTTAACCCAATTTCCATAGGAATAGACACGAAATTAAGTATGTACAACTTTTTATTTTTAATGGACTCGTTTTATACCATAATGTTACAGTAAAGTGCAAAATGGGAAAAATAATCCCCATAATCGGCTTCTGTGCTAAAAATTCTTTGGATAAAATCCAGGATCCAGTTTATGTCTGTGTCCGCTTATGTATGTGTGTTACTTGCTGAAGGACCTCGGAAGGAAATTTTGACCTGAAAGATGGCTCTGTCCGTGAACAGGAAGACTCATTTTTCTCAAAATGTGTACTCTTCCTGTACTGATCCGATTTACATAAAACAAATGAAAGCATCATGGTTTTAAGGATTTTGAGCTACGCATGCTCTTAGTGTGACGTAATTAAAATTTTTGGAATCACCATATTGTACATCTGAAACTAATATAACACTGTGTGTTAACTACCTGGCATAAAAATAAGAACTTCAGGTTTTTTTTGTTTTGTTTTGTTTCTTAGGACTAGGCAGATCTGCCCTTCCACATATCTCAATGTACCTTAAATTTCCACAAATTATTCGTTTACTAACAGCTGAAAAGGTATAAAGGAGTGGTGCAGATTAGAAAATGAGAACATTCAAATGTATGTAAGATTTTCGAATTTGATACTGATGACCCTTCATATCAGTAGGAAAAGGTGAATTATTCATAAGTAGTGGAGAAACATCCACTATTTGGAGAAAACTTGTTAAAATTTTATCTCCCAAAATTAAGTTCCAGGTGGAATAGGAATTAAAAAATTTGAATACATAAAATAAGAAAAGTACCAGAAAACTCCCAGAAATGCCTATTTACCCATCCTAAGAATGACATGAAAAGGAAGAATTCTGGAGGTGTCTGAGTGGCTCACTTAGTTGAGTGTCTGACTCTTGATTTCGACTCAGGCCATGATCTCATAGGTGCATGAGTTCGAGGTCCACATCCGGCTCTGTGCTGTCAGTTTGGAGCCTGCTTAGGATTGTCTTTTGCCCTCTCTTTCTCTCTCAAAATAAATAAAAATAAGCAGGAATTCTGGAGGTTGATTTAGCAACATACACAGCAAAAGTCTCTATCGGAAAACAATATTAATAAGATAAAGACAGTGCATTTGCAAATATTTGCAGTGTATTTGTATCAGACCAAAAAATAGATCTTCATTTTGCAGGGAAGTCTTTGAAATCAAAATGAAAAAAAAAAAAAAACAACCCTCTGTAGTTTAAAATCGCGCAAAGTACTTCTTTGTATATCTACAAGAGACCAGTGGACATAGGAAAACATAGTGTCCCTGATAAAAAAGAAATTTAAGTTAAAAAGGGAATGAAAATTTCCATCTACGGTTATCCATCTACAACCTTTGTGAAAATAAGGAGTGATGATACTTATACTGCTGCTTAATGTATCAGTTGTTTTTGACTTTCCAACAGACAATTTGGTACATTAAGTAGCACATTTCCAAAATATGTGCTCCTTTTACCCATCTGTTTTATTTATACTAAAATTTATACTTATTTCTTTAGAAAATAACTAGCAGTATATAACATACAATTTGCTTTTCTCAGCACTACTTAAAACAGCAATATATTAAGAACTCCTCTAATGGCTTGTAGAATTAAAGGGCACCATGTCCATAAGATGGGATACTCTGATCACCGAAGGTGCATCGATAATAGATAAACACAGAGATGCAGAGCTGTGCTTTAGTTGATCATTAAGTGAGAAGGAAAAATCAGTTTGATTCTATGTGTACACAAGCAGACTATAGTTTTATGTTAGCCAAAAAAAGAAATGTACAAAATGTGATTAAATTAGTTATTTTTGAGCATTTATATTTAAGAGCATTTTTCTTTTCCTTTAAAAAAATCTAATTTCTACGGGAAAGGTAGAAATCCTTTCCTTTATATAAGTTTTCTTTAAAAATATTGAATTCTCCAGCTGTATTTATCCACTCAGTCCATTTATATATCAGCTAGAAGCTGCACACATGTTCTGTAACAGACATACTCTGCTCAAGATCCTTTCATTCTCAGTCTGTGGTGTCCAGTATGAGCAGGATGAGAAATTGTATTTATTTATTTTCTAAAGATTTTATTTTTATTTTTAAAGTTTATTTATTTTTTATTTTATTTTATTTTATTTTTTTTATGTTTTTTATTTATTTATTTATTTATTTATTTATTTATTTATTTCTAGGAGAGAAAGAGACAGCGCGAACAGGGGAGGGTCAGAGAGAGAGGGAGTCACAGACTGAAACAGGCTCCAGGCTCTGAGCTGGCAGTCAGCACAGAGCCTGACGCGGGGCCCGAACCCACGAACCGCGAGATCATGACCTAAGCGAAAGTTGGATGCTCAACCGACTAAGCCACCCAGGCGCCCCTAAAGTTTATTTATTTTTTGAGAGGGGTGGAATGGGTAGGGGAAACGGAGGGGCAGTGAGAGATTCCCAAGCAGGCCCCGTGGTGAAAGCAGGAACTTTTCAAATAGTCCCGACATGGGGCTTGATCCAGTGAACATGAGATCATGACCTGAGCCAAAATCAAGAGTTGGACGCTGAACAGACTGAGCCACCCAGGCACCCCAGATTTGATTTTATGTATTTTATGTTTTAAATGTTTGTTTATTGTCGACAGTGAAAGCATGAACCTGGGGATGGGGAGAGAGAGAGGAGGGACAGAGGATCTGAAGCAGGCTCTGCACCAGATTTGAGTTTGAAGTAATATCTCTACCCACCGTGGGGCTCAAATGTGTGACTCTGAGATCAAGGTCATATGCTCTGCTGATTGAGCCAGCAAGGCACCCCTAAGATGAGACATTTTAAATTGAAGTGTTCGGATTTATTCTTGATTGAAGTTTTCCTCCTTCCTTTCAAAGTATCTGAAGATAGGACATTGTAAAAGATAACTTTTACCTGCCCTTTTGAAATTTATAATAGTATTTAATACTAATATTGATTATCGGAAATACCTGATTTTCATACAATCTGTAGATCTAAATATTTAGTAAAATGAGCTGTTTTCCTGGTCATTGGAATCCTGAGTTTCCTTTGGGTTCAAGTTCCCTGCAAATCAAAGTAAGAATTACTGCAATTTTTTTTTCTTTTGTTCATTGAGTCCTCTTTTCATAAAGAGCTTTTAAGAACTAAAATTTATTTAAATACCAGTCATCTGACTAGAACTGCAGTAGGCCTATTATATAGACCATCATTTCACATCATTTAAGGCACCAAGATTGTATGACGCCCCATTGTATTATGTATCAATAAAATTTTAAAAAAAAATACTGCCAGTTATAGTTGTAAGACATTTTGCGATATAAATTGCATTCCAGTGTCAGAGATATTAACATGACAAAATGAGCATCTTAGAATCATTGAAACACAGTAATCTTGCTAATCCTTAAAACATACCTGCAAAGTAGATATAACTGTATCACGTCACTGATTAAAGTGTTGTCTTTGTAAAGCAGTAGTAATAGTGAAACTTCTATGATCCAACAATTATTGAGATATTATTTGTGCTACAATCTGTTCTAAACACTTGCATAGATCCTCATTTAAGCATCACAGTGGGGTCTTGTGAGATAACTACTATTTATTTTGTTTCATTTTTTTATTCTTTTTTTAGTAATCTCTACACCTGTGGGGCTTCAACTCACACCTCTGAGATCAAGAGTCATATGCTCTTCAGAGTGAGCTAGCCAGGCGACCTGAGACAACTAGTTTTTTATCCCCATTTTGTTGATGAGGAAACTGAGGATAAGTCTAAGCAATAACTAGTAAGGGATAGAGTTAAAGTAGGATTCAGACCCACATTAAGCTGAATCCCGAGATCATGCTTTTTCTCTTCAGATAGGCTGCTCTTTTATTAATGTGGTGAGTCATCACAAATGAATATTGTCCTTTCTCCAGAGGAAAACGGAGTCTTTGTGTTGGAGGCCAAGGAATAACATGCTACTTAATGTTTACAATGTCATGAATTAATTGCACGTTTTGAGATAGTGCACTGTAATTTCCTAAAAAGTCCTCTCTCTTTTGTAGGACGGCTCTCCATCTGGCCTGTGCCAATGGCCATTCAGAAGTAGTCACTGTCCTAGTGGAGAGGAAATGCCAGCTGAACCTCCGTGACAGTGAAGAAAGGACAGCTCTGATGAAGGTATGTAGCAGCAGCTATGTCTGCCTGAGATGGATTTGAGGTCTTCCTTAGCAGGAAAATGAACTGCCTTGAAACAAAACTAATTGGTGAAACCTGTGGCATGCTTCCTTTAAATCCCAGAATTGACACTCTGTTTCTTGGCATATCACCGACAGGCCGTTCAGTGTCCGGATGAGAAAAGTGTAACTATTCTGCTAGAACACGGTGCCGATCCAAATCTTATGGACAACCGTGGCAACACTGCTCTCCACTATGCTGTCTTTGGGGAGAATATATCAATAGCAGAGAAGCTTCTTTTACACAATGCAGACATTGAAGCCAGGAATAAGGTAAATATCAAATTTATACAATACTTGAAATGTTATATATATACACGTATATATATTTTAGCCACAAAGCATTTTATTTCATACACACACACACACACACACACACACACACACACACAGAATTGTATACATCAGGGCCCATCATCATGGAAATAACTCCAATGCCAAGTCAGGGAGGCCTAGAAAAAGGTGGTGCCCGCGGAAAGGGCAAAGTTGTGTCTCCCAGCCTCCCGTCCACCCAGAGAGAACATCTTCCGGTTAGCACCTACAAGTGGATGGTGGTCTCAGAGCCCGGAGAGGACTAAAGTAGTAGCGGGGAGTGAGGTGATGATGGAGGCTGGTGCTCTGCAGGGGCTTAGGAAAGGGGTGCTGCTGAGGGAGGTGAGAGGGGAGTGGAGACCCAGAGCCAGCAGGGAGAGCTTGGGAGTGTGCACGTGGGAGGGGAAAGCAGCAGGCTGTAGGTGCTGGGCACTCCAGGCGCCAGGGCTCTGAGGTGAGGGCATTGAGGTCGGGACATGTCTTGACACGCAGCAAAGGCATCGACTTGTGCTGGCAGCCACTCTGCCAGCCATGTACCATTACGGGTGCCCCGTTTCGGAGAGTGGCTCCTGCTCAAGCTTGTGTAGCTCCTCAACGGGGTGGTAGCTGAACACGGGGAGCAGATGATGGCCCCGCTTGCTGGTCCACCTGCTTCTTCGACATGCTTCCCTCCCACTGCGCAAGCCCCTGTAGGAACATCCTTGGGTGACACAGATAGGGTCCATTTTCCATATTTGGAAGTTCAAGTATTCCCTGAATGAAAACATTTTGAAATAACCTAATTATCTCAGATTTTACTTTGTTATTATTTTTTAAAAATTATTTTTTAATGTTTTTTTAAATTTATTCCTGAGAGACAGAGAAAGAGAGAGAGAGCGTGAGTGAGCAGGGGAGGCTCAGAGAGAGAGGTAGACACACAATCCGAAGCAGACTCCAGGCTCCGAGCTGTCAGCACAGAGCCCGATGCGGGGCTCGAACTCATGAGCCAAAGTTGGATTGTCAGCCAACTGAGCCACCTAGGCACCCCTAAGGTTTTACTTTAAATAAGGATATTTCTAAAGAAGCATTAGAGAATACAGCTTTGTTTTATATATTTATGGTAAATATTGATGAAAACGTATTTTTTAAAGGTAAAACTTGTTTTGTTTTCTAATTTTTTTTCCCGTCTAGTTTTTTTATTAGTGAAAAATAACACAGGAAAGAAAAATTTGCCCTATGCTTTGTCTTAAAACGCAAAGAAAACAAATGCATTTTACAGTAAAAAGTATTGATGCTGTTGACAAGTTCCTATTTGATAAAAAAAAAGTAGTTAAAAAAGGGATTTATGTATTTATTAAAAAATATTTTAATGTTTCATTTATTTCTGAGAGAGAGAGACACACAGCGTGAGCAGGGGAGGGTCAGAGAGAACGGTAGATACAAATCTGAAGCAGGCTCCAGGCTCTGAGCTGGCTGTCAGCACAGAGCCTGACACGAGGCTTGAATCCACAAACTGTGAGATCATGATCTGAGCTGAAGTCGGATGCTTAACCGACTGAGCCACCCAGGCGCCCCAGAAGGGATTTATTTTTTATTTGCCAAGCCTTAAGAGGGAAAAGGAGGGAGCAGTCAGAGTTATGTGGACCCACTTGGGAATTTGGCAAGTGAGAGGAAATAATAAAAAGAGGCTTTTTTGTTTTTTGTTTTGTTTTCCTTCAGTTCATATATTTAGGCAAGGCGTCTTTAATTTTCAGGGATAATAATTGTTACTTAGGGGAAGAGTGAATTGTAAACCTGCCTAGAGATCAGTTTTTGGAGAACCCTGAGGAAACAGATTGGCAGTGAACAGCTGGTTGGTTAAGTGGCCAAGGATAGGAAAGAACAAAGAATTAACTGGCATAGAGTCCTGTTCTGGCAGAAACAGCCACTTAGGGAGGAGTCTAAACTCTGCTCTGAAATCGAGAATATCTCGACGGGAAGTAAGAAGTTTATAAGTAATGAAATCAAGTTGCATTTTGACTTTACATTTCGTCCCTGTTCTACCCCTTCCCAGGGAAATAAAATGCAGTTTTGATAAGTCACTCTTTTGGCTAAATCCTCAAATGACAGAGGGAGTTGGCCCCATAGATAAGAGATGAGACAGATGTGATTCATACACTAGCTCTTAGCTAGAGCTGTGGTGAATCCCAGTCTCCTGGGGGAAGTTTGGCAAAAATTTTTTTACAGGCCTAAATTCTCCCTTGAAGAGTTTGAGCAAGTCTGGTAACATGTAGACATAGACATTTATATTTAGAAATATATGTTTAAAAATTTTTTTGTTTATTTTTGAAAGAGAGAAGGGGAGAGAGTAGTACACGTGGGAGAAAGGCACAGAGAGAGGGAGACACAGAGGCCGAAGCCCAATCCAGGCTCTGAAGTGTCAGCACAGAGCCCGACGTGGGGCTGGAACTAGTGAACTGGGAGATCATGACCTGAGCCGAAGTCGGATGCTCAACCGACTGAGCCATCCAGGCATCCCTAGAAATATTTTTGTTTTGAAATTGTGCTACAACTCTTGCTTCAGAACTATTGGGGCCCCTGAGTGGCTCAGTCATTTAAACATCCGACTTCGGCTCAGATCATCCTCTCGTGGCTCACAAATTTGAGCCTCATGTTAGGCTCTGTACTGACACACCAGACATTGCCTGGAGCCTGCTTCATAGTCGCTGTCTCTCTTTCTGCGCCTTCCCTCCTCATGTTCTGTCTTTCTCTCTCTCAAAAAGAAGTGGACATTTAAAACAGGAGAAAAAAAAAAAGCTAACTACTGAGTAGAGGGTACCTGGGTGGATCAGTTGGTTAAGCGTCTTACTTCCACTCAGGTCATGATCTCATGGTTTTTGTGTTCGAGCCCCACATTGGGCTCAGCACTGATGGTGCGGAGATGCTTGAGATTCTCTCCCTTTTCCTCCCCCACTCGCTCACACACACGCTCGCTCTCTCTCTCTCTCTCTCTCTCTCAAAATAAATAAATTAATTAAAAAAATCAAAAGAACGACTGAATGGGTAAATATAGTATATCAATTTAGAGATGTCAAAAACCTAAGAAGTCTCTGGAAGAGCTGGAGTGTGAATATGCTATTTCCTTCAGCTTGATACATTGCTACTTCCTTCAACTCTCTCCAAAAACATTAGCCTTTCATCGGTCTCTGCCTCTGTGAGAAGTTAAAATGAATGTTATTGGGGCACTTGGGTGGCTCAGTCGGCTAAGCGTCCAACCTGAGCCCAGGTCATGATCTCATAGTTTGTGGGTTCGAGCCCCGCATTGGGCTCTGTGCTGACAGCTAGCTCAGCACCTGGAGCCTGTCTTCTGATTCTGTATCTCCCTCTCTTTCTGACCCTCCCCTGCCCACAATATCTCTACCTCTCTCTCAAAAATAAATAAAACATTAAAAAAATTAAAAAGAAAAGAAAAGAAAATGAATATTATTGGCTATATCTGTGGGCTTAAGGAATAATTTTTCAACCAACCATCAGTCATTCACTGGCACCCAGAGTTATGGGTAGTCTTTTTATAAGTAGAGTCTAATCCCTTTAAGGATTTTATATCTTTTGTTACCCATTCATTCTATTACCAGATAGTTACTACAAGCAGAGTTTTCCAGACTGCAAGAAAATCTTGAATCTTCTTTATTAGTTGAAACTATGTGATAGACCATCTTATAATGTCTGTTAAATTCACATAGCCCTGGCATAGTCAAAATGGTAGTTTTAAACATCAGAATGTAGCTAGTGACCATACAGTTGAGACTTGTTTGAATAATTTAGTTTCAGCATTCTTGTGAACTAATTTGTCTATTTGATTAATAATCTGGGAGAATTAAACACAAATAGATTGCAGTTTTAATAAGCATTGGAAAAGTTCTTAAAGTGGGTGTTATGACTCTTTTTTCTTTTAATGATTTTAGACAGAGAGAATGTGACTGGGGGACATGGGCAGAGGAGGAGACAGAGAGAGAGAGAGAGAGAGAGAGAGAGAGAGAATCTTAGGCAGGCTCCACACTCAGTGCCAAGTGCGATGTGGGACTGAGTCCCACAACCCTAGGATCATGACCTGAGCTGAAGTGAAGAGTCAGATGCTCACCTAACTGAGCCACCCAGGTGCCCCTCTTATGAGTCTTAATACCAATTTTTATTACATGTTGGGGCCTAAGGGTTTGGTAAAACATGATACTGATCCTTTAAGAAAGTTTTGCGTAAAAATATTTGCTTTATGAACAACCAAATACAAGTGGGCTGTTGACTAAATTTGGATATATTTAGTTTCCTCCGTAAATTGAGTCAGCATTTAAAATGATGACACTGATGCAGAAATCTGGATTTCAGACTTTTCTTATAGAATCACATCTGGTTTTTTGAGCCCATACTGCTGTTTGGTATGCTATGCACTGGCTGCCTTTCTATAGGAGGCCTGTGTCTCTCCAGCTTGCTGCTGTCCCCACCAGGGTTCTTCACCTACTGGAGTCACCTACTCTGCCTCCATAAGCATTGTGTTTGCAATTATTGTTTTATGATATAAACATATATATTTGAAGAGTATGTTAATCAGATCTCTTCTTACACACAGAATCCTTGGTAATTTTTTAAAAATTTATTTTGAGAGAGTGAGAGAGAATCCCCAGGAGGCACTGGGTTTGAACTCATGAATTGTGAGATCATGACCTGAGCCAAAGTCAAGAGTCAGACGCTTCACTGACTGAGCTACCCAGGCACCCATGTTTTCTGGGATAGTTTGATAAAGATTTTAAGATTTTCAAGATAATAATTTAAATATATGTTTTGTATTTTATGTTAATGTCTTAGGAATAAGATTGAATTTTCCAAGTTAGAATTTATATGTTGTTTTTTTATTCTGTTCTAGTCTAGTCTATTTATTTATGTTTTAATGTTTATTTTTGAAGGAGAGAAAGTGAGCAAGGGTACACACACGCGTGGGGAGGGGCTGAGAGAAAGGGAGACACCAAATCTAAATCAGACTCCCGGCTCTGAGCTGTCAGCATAGGCATAGAGCCCCCTCTGGGGCTTGCACTCACAAACTGTGAGACATGACCTGACCCAACGTTGGACTCCTAACTGACTGAGCGACCCAGGTGTTCTTATAAGTTGGTTTTAAAAACCCCTTTTTCTTATGTGGAAACTAATTTGACAATAAACTATTTGTAAAAAAAAAAGAATAAAAGATTGATATAAAAAGAAAAAAAAAACCCTTTTTCCTTATGTGTAATATAAACATATTCCTAGTGGAATATTTGCAAGCCATATTAGATTTATCATGGTTATACTTGAATAAGTTATGCATGTTGCAGACACCATAATCTTTGTCCTCAGCATTGTTCACTAAAAATGCAAATAATTTAGTAGCTTTCCTGATGCTAAAAATGATCTGTATAAACCAGTATTCGAATTTTTATTGATAAGTCGTGATATTTTTATTTCTGATTTATATTTTGCCTACAATATCGAGTAAGTAGCTATTACAGTGGAAACTAGAATCCAAACAGATTTTTTTAGAAGTAGATATGCATAAGGGTCCCAGAATTATTATAATTGAGAAAAACACTTAACACTGAGCTTTCTATCAGATGAGATACTAGGAGAAGGGCATGGACGATTTAATATTAAGTAATCAAGGTTCATTTGAAGCCTGTCTCTTTGAGTTCACAGCCCATCTCCTTAGTGACCCATTTGGAGCAGAAATGCCTTATGTTGACATCTCGGATGTCAGTGGACCCTGATACCATTGATAGAGGAGAAGCAGGTTTGCATCACGTGGAGACATGACCTTTCTCAGAAAGCTCTGAAAACTATATCCTTGAAACTCTCCTCAAAGGTTAATGTTTGCCCCGAAATGTATTATCAAATGGAGATTAAGCAGATTTAAATGGATTTCTCTAATTCTAGACATATAATGGAGTTCTGTAATATTTCTCAAACATAGATGATCATGAAATCTTTGCATTGGGGCATACATAGTACTTGCCTTCTGGCAAAGTATATATTATTTGGAATATAATTTGAGAAACCCTCCTCCAGAGATCATCATTTAGGTTATTAATTCAGTAAAAATACAGCATTTACTGCTATGTTTTGGAGTTTGAGATAGATAAGAAATATCCCCTGCCCTCAGGAAGCTCTTGGTTTAGGGGCACCTGGGTGGCTCAGTCAGTTAAGTGTCCGACTTTGGCTCAGGTCGTGATCTCACAGTCCGTGGGATCGAGTCCCGCATCGGGCTCTGTTTTGACCGCTCAGAGCCTGGAGCCTGTTTCAGAGTCTGTGTCTCCCTCTCTCTCTGCCCATCCAATGCTCACTTTCTGTCTCTGTCTCTCAAAATAAAAACAAAAACATAAAAAATACAAAGAAGAAGCTCTTGGTTTAGACGGGGAACCAGAACGACAATCACCATGATAAGTACTCGGATAGAATCTAAGATCTTGGAAGCAGTCAGTGTGTGAAGTGAGTTTGGGAGAATGACTGCAGATAATCTGTTGAAGGTGGAGGAGGGCTATTTTATTTTAAAAAAAAAAGTATAAAAAAGTTTAAAAAACATTTTTAATGTTTATTTGTTTTTGAGAGAGAGACAAGAGTACGTGCAAGGGAAGGAGGGGAGAGAGAGAAAGAGAGAAGGAGACACAGAATCGAAAACAGGCTCCAGGCTCTGCACTGTCAGCACAGAGCCCAGTGCGGTGCTCTAACTCATGAACCACGAGATTGTGACCTGAGCCAAAGGCAGAGGCTACCAGCGGAGCCACCCAGACCCCCAAAGGAGAAGGGCTAATTTAAAGAGAAGCAGCAACAGGTGGAAAGCACAGGGGTGAGAATGAAGAGGCCATTTTTTATTTCCTGTTGTATTATATGTCTCCGTTTAGAGGATCTTTTGTAAGTTTTAAAATTCAGTATGGAAATATGTAATTTTATAAATTATAAATTGTTTTTGCTCATTTACAGGCAGGCCTCACACCACTTCTCCTTGCAATAAATGAGAACAAAGAACAGATGGTGGAATTTTTAGCAGAAAAGAAAGCTGATGTATATACAGTTAATAATATTAAAAGGTACAGTAGTTGTTTTTTTAATTTTTTAATGTTTAATTTTTTAATTTTTTTCTTTTGATAAATTTTATTTTATTTTTTAAAAATAGTTTATTCTCAGTTTGGTTTCCATATAACACCTAGTGCTCATCCCAACAAGTGCCCTCCTCCATGCCCATCTCCCTCTTTCCCCTCCTCCCCCACCCCCATTAGCCCTCAGTTTGTTCTTGGCATTCAGGGGTCTCTCATGGTTTGCCTTCCTCCCTCTCCCTTACTAATTTTCCCCTTCTTCTCCCCCATGGTTCTCCATTAAGTTCCTTCTAATCCTCCTATACATGCAAACATATGGTACCTGTCCTCTGCCTGACTTATTTCACTTAGCGTAACACCCTCAAGGTCCATCCATGTTGCTACACATGGCCAGGTTTCATTCTTTCTCATTGCCATGTAGTATTCCATCGTATAGATAAACCACATCTTCTTGATCCATTCGTCCGTTGATGAACATTTAGGCTCTTTCCATGGTTTGGCTGTTGTTGAGAGTGCTGCTATGAACATTTGGGTACATGTGCTCCTATGCATCAGCACTCCTGTATCCCTTGGGTAAATTCCTAGCACTGCTATTGCTGGATCATAGGGGAGTTTTTAAAGGGTGGACTCTCAGCTTTTAGTTTCCTTTATGACACAATATTGGGCTTCTTAAGCCTTTAATGGTATTTTTTTTAACTTCTGCTTCATAGGGGCACCTGGGTGTCTTAGTCGGTTAAGTATTGGACTTTGGCTCAGGTCACGATCTCATGGTTCATGGGTTCAAACGCCGCGTTAGGCTGTATGCTGACAGTGAAAAGCCTGCTTAGGGTTCTCTCTTTCCCTCTCTCTTCTCTCTGCCTTCATCCACACTCTCATGCTCACCTTCTCTCTTTACCAAAATAATAAATTAACCAAAAAAAAAAAGAATTTACACTTCATATATATTTTTCCCTAAAAGATGTATATTGGGGTGCCTGGTTGGCTCAGTTGGTTAAGCCTCTGACTTCGGCTTAGGTCATGATTTCTTGGTTCATGGGTTCAAGCCCCACATCGGGTTCAATGCTGGCAGCTCAGAGTCTGGAGCTGCTTCGGATTCTGTATCTCCCTGTCTCTCTCTGCCTCTCCCCATATTCTACTCTGTGTCTCTGTCTCTCAAAAGGAAATAAATGTTAGAAAAAAAAATGATTCTTTGCTTTAAATTGCTTTTTTTTTTTTTTTTGAGGAATACTGATGTTGTTAAATGAACTCTAAGTGATGATTAATTACTATTACCAGATATTTTGGCTCATCAGTTTTTATCCTTTTCAGTCCAGTATATTTTTTTTATTTTATTTTTAATTCCTATGGGTAGAAAGATGAAGGATAACTTTAATTGAATAGACTTTTCCTTTAATGAGGATAAGTTCTAGATGGGTGATGAAGAAAAAAAGAGCTGGGCTTTAGATTCACACAAGACTAGGTTTACTTCCTAGCTTCCTGCTTGCTAGGTGTTGTGACCTTGGGAGCATTACGTACCATCACTAAATACGTTTCCTGATACACAATGGAGGATGATAATATATCCTTCGAGGGTGGTTGTGTGTAAATGAGATCTTAGATGCATAGCCTTTAATTACGTGTCTACCATATGATTCTCAGCATCATTAACCACAGTAGTGACTATTTCATTACCAGTAGCATTAGAATTGTATCATTTTGAGCCTGCAGATAGTTTTTATACTTCCTTGACCTCAAGATGGCTTTGGAGTGCACTGTATCCGATTAAGGACGACATGGGGAATTCTTTTTGAAAACCTTTACCTATCCAGATAAGTGACCTCAGCAGAGTGTCTTCTTCATCAAGGGACTTTAAATTAGCAACTTCTATCATACATGACCCGAGTGGGACAAGAAGCTTCCTTTTGGTCCCTTCATTTGAGCCTTGGAGATCATTTACAAAGATGAACACTTGGACATGAATGTGGTCACTTCTGTACAGATAGGCAAGATAGTTACCTGAGAAAATATATCAGATGGGCTGTTTCAGTGACTCTAAATTCCCAAGAGGGAAGTTATCTCTCTGTTATTTTAGAACAGCCGTCATGTATTTTGCAACTAGGAAGTCAGCAAATATAGTCAGGCTTCTTCTTAAGCAAGATATATACGGGTGGGATGTAGATGAATATGCTCTCGTTAATGGTTTTCGTATGTATTTCTCTGAAAATGCTCGAGATTACGAAACGGCGTCTTCAAATAATTTAATTGTTACTTCGTATGGAACAGATGGGGTTTCATAGTTTGGTTCAGGCAGTTTGGGAAAGTCAGTGAGTTAGTCTACAGCATTAGCCAGCAATCAAGCAAAAGAATAGACTCGTTAGAAGGAGGAATGGGTTCAGGATTCATTATCTCGGGACTCTTGAGACCTTCATCCTTCAGGATCCTAACCTTATCCGTTTCATTGCAAGTGTAACCCCTATGCGTGGGGTACAAATAATGTGACATGTCTGTGTTTTCTCACTCGTTACGTGGGTCTTGAAATGTTCAGATTTGTAGAAAACACTGTAGTTTTCTTTAGAGCTCCCTCCTGTGCTCTGTCCCTTGAATTGTCCGGGAACCTAAGGAGCACCCTAAGATGCTCTTCGAGACCGTCCTGTCTCACAGCCACATTTGGAGGAAAAAGGACACTGTACTCATTCTGCTGTTTCCGTTGGTCCCGTTGCTGCAGCTTTGCTGTTGCAACCGGTTGTGCAGTCTGGTCATGATTGACCTTTGCTCCCGGGATGCCCTTGCTGATCCAGATTTTTCAGTCTTCATGGTGATCCACACTTAGACTTCAAGTTACAACTTGTTTGAGTTCACTGCACATGCCCATATGGTCAGAGGCTATCCCCGAGCACCAGCACCCTGTTCTGGCAGCTGGGCCTCCTGGCTGTAGCCACACACCCCTTTCCCGACACACTCAGAGACCTTCCGTGGAACCCATATCTTAGCCCACATTCTCATTATGAGTTACCCCTTGAGGATCTTGTTTGCCTTTTCTGCCAGAAGAAACATCCCAACTAACCTGTTGGGCCCACTCTAAGCTGTCAGGGAGGTTCAAATGATGCTCCAGGAAGAGATCAGACTTTTCTTTTCCCCTTTGCTAGTAGATCTCTACCCCTGCTGCTTTCTTCCTTTTTTTTTTTTAATATGGGGCTTGAATTCATGGCCCTGAGATCGACACCCACGCTGAGATCAAGAGTTGGATGCTTCACCGACTGAGCTCCCCAGGTGTGCCTGCCCCCTGCGTTACATCCTGCGGAGCGTCTTTTCTTAGGCTTAGGTCATGGAAAGTCTCCTGTTGCTTTTCCCAGAGGAAGGGGTACCACCTTTCCTGAGAGGCCATGTTTTGGGTGTAATATCTCATGCAATCCTCTTATCAACCTTGTAAAATAAGGCAGTATGATAATTGTTTGATAGAGGAAGACTTTGAGCCAAAGTGAAGTGGCTTACCCCAGAACACATAGCTATTGGGTCTAGAGCTAGGACTTCTGAGCTCAAAACAGTTTCCATTAGAGCAAGCTAATTATTTTTTTTTTTAATATTTTTATTTATTTCTAGGAGAGAGAGAGAGAGACAGCGTGAGCAGGGGAGGGTCAGAGAGAGAGGGAGATACAGACTCTGAAATAGGCTACAGGCTCTGAGCTGGCAGTCAGCACAGAGCCCGATGCAGGGCTCGAACCCACAAACCACGAGATCATGACCTAAGCGAAAGTCGGATGCTTAACCGACTAAGCCACCCAGGCGCCCCTAGAGCTAGCTAATTCTAATTGGACTAAGCTGTAATGCCTTCAATTCATGACTGGTTCATCTTCCTGTTTTTTTCTTTAATTACTAACTTAATGAAAAGTTTACAAAACGTACCAATTTGAAGTATATGGGGTAATTCAAGTTTTGATATTAGCTCTGATATTTGAAATACTCTTAAGAATTTGATATATTTCGCAAATGTTTTTCATATCAGTATTAAAATAGTAATATCATTTATCACTCTTTCTTACCCATAGTGATCACCAACCAATATCCAGTTATAAAGAAGAAAAGACACCCAAAAATTCTTCCCAAAGTAGCCATCCAGGTAAGACTTTACGGAGTGAATTGCTCTTGGTTGTCCTAACATAGGTAAAGTCAGAGTAAGGACGTTTTGATGACGAAAGAACGATGAAGAAAAAAACACCAATGTGTAAACTGCATGTGTATTTTTTCTTTCTTAATTTCTTTTTTCATACTCTAATATTCAGAATTATTTAAGAAGTCAATTGTAGGTAATTGAAAATATAAGGCACTATTAGTCGCCATTTCTAAAATGCCATATGATGTCTTTGTGTAAAAAAGAAAAACATTTTGTAAAACATGTGTTTATTTTTGAGAGGGGGAGGGAGAGAGTGTGAGCAGGAGAGGGGCAGGAGGAAGTAGACCGAGGATTCAGTGCAGGCTCCTCTACTGACAGCACAGAGCCTGATGTGGGGCTCGAACTCATGAACCACAGGGTCGTGACCCGAGCCAAGGTCACATGTTTAACCAACAGAGCCACCCAGGTGCCCCAAGAAAAAAAGTTTTTTAAGTTAGTATGTTTTAAAAATTTCCTGTGTAAACATCTAATAACAAATTGCACTTGCTATAAAAATGGATCTTTTATATCATTTTTACACATGGATTCTACTGAGTAAATATTATTTTTTTTTTTTTTTTTTTACAAATAGTTTATTGTCAAATTAGTTTCTACATAACACTCAGTGCTCATCCCAAAGTGCCCTCCTTCATGCCCATCCCCCCCTCCCCCCCACATCCATCAGTCCTCAGTTCCATGTAGTATTCCATGGTATAGATAAACCACATCTTCTTGATCCATTCATCTGTTGATGGACACTTAGGCTCTTTCCATGTTATAGCTATTGTGGAG